ACATCAAATACTTGCGATCGATTTTTGAGAACATATAACCAAGTTAAACGAGAATAGTAATCAATAAAAGAGACAAAATAACGAGCACCAGCTAACCCAGTAGTTCGGGCGGGACCCCAAACATCAGAGTGAGTAAGTTCAAAAGGGCGTAAACAAGGTCCGTCAGTCCTAAGTTTAAAAGAAGCCCCATGTTTGCTAAGGTAACAAGTTTCACAATTAAAATTAGAAAAACTAGGTAGGGAAGGACAAATGCCAAAGACTGTCAAACGAAGGATGCCCAAGTCGACAATGCCATTGGTACAGAGAAGTCGAGGTATAGAGTGCAGATGAAATAGGTGAACAAGACGTCTGAAAGTAGTAGAGCCCATCCTTTTCAAAGCCCCCACTAATCATCCTCTTCGTCTTTAGATCCTGAAAGACACAGTGAGTAAGATAAAATGTTACTGAGCAATTTAGGGCAGAAGTAAGTTTACGAACCGATAACAAATTAAAGGGAAATTGGGGTAGATACAAGACATAAGAGAATGCTAAACTAGAGGTACTAACAGTGCCAATTCCTTGGACTTGAGAGTTGGTACCATTAGCTATTCTGACGAATGACGAACTCATACGAGAACTATTAGACAGAAGAGGGGTTACCTGTCATATGATCCTCCCAGAATCAATTATCCAAGGTGTACTTAGTGAAGAATGGAGGCAAGTATTACCTGAATCAACAAAAGTGATTGCAGAAGTGGATGGAGGATTAACACGCTTGACAATTGAATCATACTCAGCTTTGGAGATAAGAACCCGTTCCTTAGTAGTAGGATTTGTGTTCTCCCCCTCAACCACAGCCTGATTTGCCCATGCAGGCTTGCCATGAAGTTCCCAACAGAAATCAACAGAATGGTTGGTACAGCCACAATGTGTACATGTCCTCCGACCATGACCACCTCGGCCGCTACGACCACCTCGGCTACCACGGCCACCTCTGCTAGTGTGTGAAGGACCACGTCCTCCTCAGCCACCACTAGAAGTATCGGATTGCTCAGCTGGAACTGCAAGGGCGGAACGATCCTCCTTTTTTATGGTAGAAGAGTGGATGGAGGCACGTCAAACCCGAGCAAAGGTCTCACTAGCAGTTGGGAAGTCTTTGCCCGAGAGAATTTGAAAACTAATAGGAGCAAGTTTTGGCTGAAGTCCAGAGAGAAATTTTGCTACCCGAAATTCCTGTGTGTGTTGTTTCTGTGTCTCTAAATCTGTAGTCAAAGGCTGATAAACATTAAGTTCTTCCCACATACCATTCAGTTCTGAGTAATATTCTTCAACCGAACGATCACCCTGTTGAAGTGAAAAGATACCTTGGTACAATTGGTAGATCCGAGAAATATATATATATATTTTTCTGACAAGTACATTTCTTTAAGAGCACCCCAAATCTCCTTAGCAGACTCTAGAAATGAGACACTATTGAACACCTCTGGTTCCATACTGTTCCACAACCAAGTCATAATCTGGGCATCCTCTTGTTCCCATTCATTAGTCTGTTTTCCCTCCTTAGGCTTGGATGACTGGATATAGTAAAATTTCCCACGAGCTTTTAGAAAAACTTGGACTACTTGAGACCATTGAAGGTCATTGGGAACCTTCAATTTGGTAGCAGTTCTATTACCGAAAACGAGAGAGTCCTTGTTTTTCGATTTGTCACCCATGATAGTAGAGACGAGATAATCCGAGTACAAATGCTAAAGAAAGGAAAGCTATTGAACTTTGAGCATGAGATCAATAAGAAAGAATGTTGAACATGAAATCAAGAAAGGGCTCTTTTTTTTTTTTAGGATATCTCTGTCAGACTGTCATAGAAAGACACATTTTTGTTTTTTGATGACCTAGGGTTCTAGGTCATCTCTGTCCAATTGACAGAGAGAAAATAATAAAAAAAAAAAAAAAACAGTAGAGAAGTTGACGATACAATAAAAGAAAGAAAGAACTGAGATGAAGGGGGGAAAAAAAAAAAAAAAAAAAAAAGGAAGACAAAGCTTGGGTTAGGTCTCCAACTTTAACCTTGGAGCTCTGATACCATGTTGAAAGCTAAAGCTAAATCTTAGAGTGAAGAGAGAGAGAGAGAGGAGAATGGAGTGTATCTCTTATTTTATATCACAAAAGGATGATTACAATAGGTATATGTAAATCTTCCAGAACACAAAATAAGGGAGGTGGTAGGTGAGTGCAGAGCAAGGAATGTATCTAGACATATTGTGTGTCTAGGTAAATACTTCATGTGTAAAATATGAAAGCTGTAATCATATCCCTAAATAAGGAATAGTTGACTACGAGTAGTGTTCACGACAGTTTTTAAGATTGATTTCTTGTATTTTCTTTTTGGGCTTTACAAAAGAAGCAATAGGTTTGTTTTGGAAGCAAAGAAGGTTTCAGGTTTAAAGTAGCCATCAGCAACATATTCCAATTAGCTGAGGTAAGACTTTAGGGCCAAGTCTGGAGTCATGTAGCGGTTGAGGTAAGTTTCTGGCTAGTTGAAGTGATACCAACACATGGTATTAAGGCAGTGATCAATTGGTTGAACTCTCTCTAGTAAATTTCGAACCAATCATAGGCTCTGTTCAACTGGTTGATTTCGTTTGAGGCAGAGATCTTGTTTCCAATTCCTAAGTGTCCTTTGGTTATAAAAACCCTTGCGAAGCGTTGTTTTTTGGAATATATGGGAAGAGAGATATGAGAGAATTGAGGAATTAGAGATCAGTGACTTGAGTGATTGATTATCTTGTTACACCTTTTGAGTGTTGATAGTGAATTTTTGGTCCTTTCTCCTCCATGGAAGTAGGGGCACTGCTAAATCACATTAAATTTTGTGTTCTTTGTTTGTTTATGTGGTTGATTCTTTACAGCTTTTGTATGATTATGCACTTCTTGTTACCCATGCGGCCCTTGACAAAACGTGATTTGTAAAAAAGCAAGCATGGAACAATGTATATAATTAGGTCTGCCTCTTGTTGTGGAGGCTAAATAAGGTGGGTATTTTTCATGCAACTAATGAAGAAGAGAAGAAGTTGGACCTCTTTTTGATGTTATCAGCTAAAATGTAAATTTGATAGGATTTAGGATTTAAAAAGAATTTGTTATGTTCATTTTAGGATGTGACTCGTAGATTTATAAAGCATAGACATGGGGCATGGAGCAAAAATGAGTAGGCAGAGGACAAAACTAAAAAATTATCAAAAGGTCATTGTATCATACTCTCTGTTCATCTTGTTTCCAATAGTGGCGGACAAGGATCATATTAAGGTGTATTTTGTCCTATGTAACATTTGTTGGGAGTCCCTGAGACGAGGATCTTATTAAGGTGTGTTTTGTGCTATGTAACATTTGTTGGGAGTGCCTGAGATGTCAAGCCTTTGAAATAATGGAATTTATTGAATCTTGGACTCATTAACAAGACATGACCAGTGTAGAAGTGTCACAAAGTGTCTGCATCTGACGTGTTTGACTCATACATGACACCTTCCTAGAAGTGACCATGCTTCCCAGATTAATTGACATGATGAAGGGCCTGAAGGACAAGGAGGCATTTATGACTTGGATATGCAACTGAGGTTTCAACTTTCAAGCTTAAATGGTTTACATCGAGGGTTGTCATTGTGCCCTTTTATTATTTTAAAAAAAAATTATTCTGGTTTTAACTACTTTAGATCTCCACTCAAGTGGTTGCATACCTGTGTATCAAGTGACAGGTGGTCACATGCTTGTGTATCAAGAGTAGGTTGTTTAGCTAAAGGATTTGGTTATTGTTGGAGAATAATTATATGAGTGATTTAAGCCCTAAAATCACTCCTTGACAGAATGTTAAGTTGCTATACTTGGGCAACAAGTTGTTGCCATATTTGTATTTGACTTTCTGTGTAATTCCTTTATTATAGCTACAAGTCTTCCCCAATTCACCTATAAATAGAGGTGGTTATTGTAAACAAAATTAAGAGAGAATGGAATGAAAGAGATGTAGCCCTTTGGGCTTTGTGTGTTGTGGATTTAAGCCCTAGTGGCTGAACCACGTTATATTCTTGTGTCCTTCATTTTTTAATGTCTCTCTTCAACTTTTATTTTTCTTTCAACAGTTATCATATGATGAACTGGTATTCATTTGACAAATGAATGAGTTTTTCATCTTGATCTGACAGGGAGTCGTACTTGCTTTGTTGATTTCTTTAAAGCTCTAGAATGTCATAAAATCTATCAAACTTTTGATTTTTTCATATCATTTGCATTTATGAAGTCCTGAGTTGGCGACGCTTTTGCAAGAAGCAATTGCTTTCTACTTGTTATATTTATATACACAGCAAGTGTAGGTGCTTTACAACTACTTCGGGGGGAAAAAGGTTATATAAGGAATCAGTTTCTGATATGAAAAGTTTATAAATTGTTTATCTTAGATCTGATGGGAGTTATCCTTGTTATTTGATCTTTTTAAAGCACTAAAACATTTGTAACATTTGTAAAATGTTTTACTACTCCTTTGTAATGTGGGCCAAGCTGTTGTTCATAAGAAAAATTGACGAGTTGGTTCTTTGATTTGTGGAAATTGTCATTGTTTTGTTGATTTCTTTCAACCAATTACATTGTAAACTCTAATAGATCTTACATTGGCACATGCAGCTTCTGCATGAAGCCTCCACTTCTTAATTTTGAGTATTGTTTATGTTATGATCTCAAATGAATTACTACTACTTTCAAGGAAAACTAAAAGAGCAGAAGAAAGGAAAATGATGCACTTCCTTTCATGATTATGAGCCATTAATTTGACCACTTTGTATCATATTAACATGATTATTTCAATTTCATTAGAGGTATTATTGTTTCTCTCATTTCTGAAAATTAATATTGCAAATTTCTGAAATTGATATCATGGAGAACATTATACATTTTTGTTATGCAAATTGTAAATGAATTTTAATTTCTTTTTGTATTTACCTATATCGTGGTTGGTTACACTTATTGTATTGCAGGCAAACAACCCAAATAGGAGAATGGTTATCAAAACTGCGAAGCTGCTTCAGATGAGGGAGTTGTATGGTAATGTGATTACTTCCAGAAAAGGGAAGTGCAACTTTCAGGAGGAATACCAAAAGATACAAGCATCTCACCCAATGGTATGTTGTTGTAGATAAGAGTTGCAATCTTAATCTGCCATTTCTCATATTTTTTTGTCTCTATCCTTATTGTACCCAGTTATAGCTACTTGTGCAACGTGCAATAATGGCACTAGTCCAGGTTCTGGCAAGTTCTCTGTTTAAAATAAAGTTTTCATGATTTCTTGAAGTCCAAAAGCTAAAAGTTCATGCGAAACATTTGCATGCGTACTCATGGTTTATGTTCCCCGGACTTGGGCACGTGTTTAGGGAGCATGTATGTATCCAAGTGTCGGATGTATCAAATCCCCAAACAAAAGGACACTGTTAAATATTCATATTATTTGATGTTTCTCTCTTACTTTTTAGAGTAAAATAATATTTTTATGTAACAGAGTGTTCAACTCGTTTTGAAGCAATAATGTAATAAAGTTTCTTTACTGGATATCTCTTGAAGTTGCATGTCCAACCAAATGTGTGGGACATGTATCCCATCCCTTGGTTTGAGTGTCACATGGATACTTGATGTACTTTTGAAGAGTCCATGTATAATAGCTCATGGTATTTTATTTGGCACGGACACTCTAAAGAATATGAGAGGCTGATACTACTCGATTGAAGTTGATTTTATGATCTCTTGAATGGCTCCCGCTTCCCAGGAGCTAAAGATATTTATATTTATAATTAGATCAGGTATTCAGGTTGCATTGAAACTGCGATGTGTTAATTAGATCTTTTATGCATCTTTCTTTTATTCTTGGGGACGATACTTTGTTGAAGATAAGTAAAATATGATCCAATTTCAGCCTTCAAACTCTGTGATGTCATAACAATATATATGGTCTTGCAGCAGCAAGATGTATACATTCAATTTAATTTTGAGTCAGGGTTGATGTTTTTGCTTGCAAAAAGAAAAAATAAACAGGATTGACGTAATTGACCCCAAACAGGAGAGAGAGTTTGGAGGTAAAAGGAAACCAGAGAGGAAAAGGTATATCTCAAATTGTTTTTGTGGGGGTCCACTTTCTTTCACACAACATTAGGCCTGACGGGATTAGTGCCTAGTTGGCCATCATTAAACACGTGACCAATTCTCATAGGCAACCTATATGACCTACACAGATTGAAAACTTGATGTGGGATGACGCCTTAAAGCAGATTGTTACCGCTGCTATATGATCAAACAATGGTGGGCTAGGGTTTTGAATTTGTGGGTTTATGCTTAAGAAGAGAGAGTAGGGTTCAGAGGTGGATTTGGACTTCAACTGATTGATGTTTAAAGATAAATTTTAGTGTGAAATTGAAATGATAACCTTGCTGAAGTTTTTGAACAGCAAGCAACAACCAACAGGTTTAAGGGCAATAGTGGAGGGTGCGAACAGGGTTAGGTTTTAGGATCTAAGATTAAGGGTTTTGGGGATAAAAAGGGCTGATCGAATGGCGGTTTTTAACCATGCATGGACAGTTGAAAAATAAAAGAAGAAGAATAATTTGGATCTTAGGGTCCTTCTGAGGCCTTCTGTGCACAGATTTATCCTTTTGTTTTATTTACACGAAGTGACTGTCATTGGACTCAAACCTAATTGTCATGCCTGGCAGCATGACTTTTTACAACTGCAGCTTTGAGGAAACTAGCGAAACGATGTTAACATGTAATTTTTTGTTTTCTGGATGTCATCATCCTTCCATTTTCTTGATTTCACATGGAAGGTGTCCTTTCCCTAGTGCCATTTGTACAAATTTTAATTTTAAGGTCTTAGTAGTTTATTTAAATAAATTTGACTTAATTTATTTACCATTCATTATTTTATTACAAGTTGCTCATTTTGTATAATTCTTACTTAAATTTATTTACTATTTGCATTGTTAGTTTGCAACTTATGAGATGTCATAATTGTTACTTTATGTAACTGTATTTTATGCATCACAGATTTGGAAGTATCATGAAACAGAGAGGATTGGCGATGGTGCTTTGGAACAGATACATGTTGATGTAGACATGCCAAATGGTCAAATTGGAACAGATATCCTATTAGCAGGCGGTGTAAGTGGCTCATTGAGGTATGTTTAAGGATGCAGATTTGAATCATTTATGTTCATCGTCCTCTTCTAAACATATGGACCCTTAAACAGTTATCTGTAGCTGACTGCATGCAACAAATTACAGTTAGTTAAGAATTATGCTGCACTGCATTTAATACTCAAGGGAATCGGAATATTTGTGAATTCTTTGCAGAATCTATATATTATGTTTACATGACTGTTGCATCACTGAAAGGGACAAATGAAGTTGGATGGTATATGTATTATTATGTTGATGTTCACAGGATATCACTATAACAAATTGTAATGAACCATATGATATGAGTGAGATGGGTGTAGCATCACATGTAAATCAGTTTCCCCCAAATATAAACAGGAAGCTATTTTCCTTCATATTGGTGAAATGTGATACCATACTGGTTGAGCAAGGCATTCGTTTTTCTGCACTCCACTATTGAACTAGATGTTTCTTTGGAATTCTTATCTTGAGTTTGTGATTATATAAATGCACTCTTAATTTCAATCTTGCAAGTAGTTCTGCAAAATTGTCTGCATGTGACATTCATATCTTGCTGCTTGGTATTCATTAGCAAGGAACTTCTTTTTATAAGGTTTTGGGTGTTTGCTTTTCTGTTTACTTTGACTTGCACTTGTGCTAGTACTTGACAGAATATTTGAGTTGTCTGGATTAATATTGTAAACTGGCTCTCTTACTAAATCATGCTTGCAGTGATTATTTTGGAGATTGGTTCAGGTCTTAACGCTGTGCCAAGAAACAAAATTTTATCTTATTGACATGCATAGTGCTTATGAAATTAAAAATAAAAAATCTTATTGACATGCATAGTGTTAGTGTCTCTTGTGGAATCATGTTTAGGATGACTTTTTTTGCAAATTAGTTCCAGTCTTGTTGACATGCTAGGAAACAATATTAAGAACCTTATATGATCTCTTTAGCACATATGAGTCATGTAACAATTTAATTACATATCCTTAATTGATGTAATTCTCTTTCAAGGTTCAGTTGAAACGTTGAGTCCTTCATGCTTTTCATTGCTGTTAATCATGTCTGATTATGATGGAGTTTCTAAGCTTTGTCTAGTTATATGTGACATTTTCCATCATTGGCCTCTTGGTTCAATTTTGTTTTCATTGCTCAATTTTGTAGGAGAATGTTGGATCAAGTCATCTCAGATTTTTTTATTGCAACTAATTTCACCTTGTTTTGGGGTCATTGCCAATTGCAAACGTCAAAGCTTGGACTAATAACCATGACGTATCATGTTTGAGTCTGGAAGCAGCCACTTTGTGTAAAATAATGTTAAAGGTTAGGCTTGTCTCCACTCTCCAGTCTTCCCTCCTTAGTCGTAGCATCCCTGTGTAGGTGAGATATATACCGGGTAATACACTTTTGAAGTTCACCTTAACTCGGTGTGTTTTTTGCTGCCTAGGGAGACATATTCTTCTTAGTAAATATTGTTTCTTCTACCATTACATTTCTATGTTATATTTGTATTATTGGCCAGTTTCTAATTGTTTTTATGATGATAATATTGTTGCTATTAATAGTCCTATACAAATGTTTTAATCAAATATCTTGTACTTGGTACTTTTATAAATATATATATATTTTTTCTTCTTGTGATACTGTGAAGCTCATAGATCACATTATATACTGATTCTTAATCCATTAGAAGTCATTGGTTTTTGAGGTCTGGTGCTTTTGCAGTCTTTACGAAGTTGGAAACGTGGGACAACAATTTTATTACGGGGTAAACTGCACGCCAGATCGTATATGGTCTCTTAATATTGATAACCAAGGGCGGTCCATGGAAGCAGCTAGTCATCTTTGGAGACCTACAGGAGCTTCGATGCAAATGCCATCAAATATATCTTGTGTAAAGATGTTTGGGAAACATTCTACTCATTTTGTTGATGCTTCATCCATGCAGCGTATTTTGTATCCTCACGACATTTTAGATATTCATGAGCACTTGTTTCATTATTTGTTACGGAAAATGTCTTATTGTTGTTTGAAATTCGATTTTATTTTTTGTCCTATTGCTTACTTGATGAGTAAGTAGTAAGTAGAACTTCTTTACCATTTTATCTGTTGATTATTCCATTTCCAGTGTTTGAATGATCCCCAACCCAGTGTTATTTGCAAGAAAGATAGAGAATTGGTCAACCCCTTCTTGTTTCTTTACTTCAACAGTTCTCTTCTTCTTCTATTATTATTATTTTTTTCCTTTTCCATATTGTATAAGGGAATCCCTTGTGCTTTTGTATTTTAGGCCTTGCATTGGATTTTCTTAAGTTTTAATGTTTTATATGATTCTTGATGTACCCTCCATACATATTGTGTTTTATGTTTATAATTAGACAAGTTTTATTACTTATCTAATTTATATTTTGTTGTCAGATATGAAAGACCTTAATGTAAGAACAGGATAACTACGCTGGGATCAGAAACATCTGGTGGATCTGTTAATGTTCTGAACCTTAGTGAACCATTAGATTATAATCCAAGTATTCCCATAATAAGTAGAAGAATGAATGAAGTTGCTTCGTTCAGTTGTACAGTTTGGACTGCGGATTGCAACTCTAATAGGAGTCAAGCAGTGATAGGCAAGTTGTTTTTCAATGTTTTATCTGATTATTTATTGTAACTTTGTACTAGTAATTCCTTCTATTAGTTTGAAATTTGCTAATTCTCTAAAGCCCATACGAATTTTCTATATCTAGGATATTATGTTGACATTAGGATACATAAACCTGCTGGACAGAGGTTCCAAGTCAATGTAACGTGGGGATTTTCTATTAGCCAATTTTGTTATGTTGCGTTTGGTGTGCAGGAATGGAATGGAATGCAAGTAGGAATGGAATGAGAATGGGAATGGCCATTCTCATTCTATTATTTGGTTGTAAATATGAAATGTGTAGGAATGGAATGATAATAATCATTCTAGTGTTTGGTTGGACCAATTTTAAAATTAGAATGAAATAAATTTCAAATTGAGTTCTCCAAAATATCCCTGTTAGTAAAAAATAAATTAAATTAACAAAATGACATTTTTCTATAATTTTTTAAAAATAAATGGTGGTAGTGGCGGTGGTGGAGATGGAAAGCAGTAGTGGTGTAGGTGGTGGTGTTGGAAGGCGGCGGTGTTGGTGAAAGGCAGTATTGATGGAAGGCGGTGGCAAGAGTGTTTGTGGTAGGTGGCGGTGGTGGAAGCCAATGGAGGTGACTGTGGCTGTAGTGGAAGGTAGTGGAGGTGGCGGTGGTGGTGATGGAAGGTAGTGGAAGGCGATGGCTGTGGTGGTGGTGGAAGGTGGTGGCAGTGGTGGAAGGTGGTGAAAAGCGGTGGTGGTGGCGGTGGTGGTGATGAAAGGCAGTGGTGGTACAAGGTGGTGGAAGGCGATGGCGGCGGTGGCAGAAGGCAGTGGCAATGGTGAAAGGCGGTGGCGGCAATGGTGGTGGAAGGCGGTGGCTGTGGTGGTGGTGGAAGGCGGTGGCTATGGTGGAAGGTGGTGAAAGGCGGTGGCGGTGGTAGAAGGTGGCGGAAGGTGGTGGTGGTGGAAGGTGGTGGTGGCGGCGGCAGTGGTGAAAGGTGGTGGCGATAGTGGTGGTGGAAGGCGGTTGCTGTGGTGAAAGATGGTGGTGGCGGCGGCGGTGGTGGTGGAAGGCGGTGGAAGGTGATGGCGTGGAAGGCGGTGGCGAAAGGCAATGGTGAAAGGTGATGGCGGTGGCGAAAGGCGGTAGGGGTGGTGGTGGAAGGCGGTGGCGGTGGCGGTGGTGACAACGATGGTTGGGGCAAAGGAAGGCGGTGTTGGTGGTAAAAGGCGGTGTCGGTGGTGAAAGGCGGTGGGTGGTGGTGAAAGTTGGTGGTGGTGGGTGGTGGTGATAGTGGTGGTGGTGGTGAAAGGTGGATGTGGTTGTGGTGGAAGACGGTGTGATTTTTGGACTTAGAACATGATGATTTTTTTAGGAAGTTGATTTTTTTTTAAAAATTACTTGGGAATGGAATGGCCATTCCATAGGTTTTGTTGTGGAATGGATTTTCATTACTAGGAATGCATTCCATAGGTTTTGTTGTGGAATGGATTTTCATTCCCAGGAATGGATTTTCATTCCAATGGAATGGCCATTACCACTTCAAAATGTATACCAAACAAAGGAATGGTTGGAATTGGCCTTCCATTTCATTCCTGCACACCAAACGCAACATTAGTGTTTGGTCCTATATTATTGAGAGCATCACAACGAATAACACTTTGCTTAAATGAAGTCTCATGATTCTAATTTTATTTTTATTCTTTTAAACTCAATTTCTGCGAACATTATCATGTCTATGTCATGAGCTGTCATACTTATCTGCAAACTTTGCGCTAAAGTGCCTAAAAAAAACTGTATTAATATATATATTTTTTCCTCAGGCACTTGTCTTAGTACTTTTTCTTGGTATAGGCACTAATCTTGGAGCTGCCTTAGTAAATTTGGAAACTGGAAGGTCGTCATGGGTGTGTCATTGTAAAAGCGACATTTTGTCCGTACAACTTGATCATTCGGTAATCGTTAACATTATTGGAGGTTCCTAGAGATATTTCTGAATTTCTTTTTCAATCATTTTTATCTTCTCATCATATTGGATAAATTAGTAGATAATTTATTTTGTTGCATATTGTAAATTATTGTGAAAAACAAAATGACATTTTTAAGGATACAAGTCCATAACGAAGTGTTAACTTTTCCTTCTAATTTATGAGCAAACCCGCCTCCTCATGAAACAATATATAACTTTTGTGGTTCATGATGCAATTAATGTAATGCTTGCATGAGCTTTGATTGTAAATTGTTGATTTGTTAAACTATGATAAATTAGTAATATCATGAAGGGGTTCATTTTCGTGGTTTGAGTTAGCAATTTTTTGAGCAAAAAAACTTTATGTTGGAAGAGAGAGAGAGAGAGTATATGAAAACTTATATCTTATTGAGTGAGTAATACAATAATATAATGGTGTTTATATAGGAGAAGCTACGGGAGTAGGTGAGTGGAGAGCAATTAATTCTATATATGGTAATGAAGGGTAGGTAACATCTCATACAATACTAACTGTGCACGTGTGACAACTCATATAATATTGTACAACGTGAAAACTTGTACAATACTGTATAACACTCCCCCTCAAGTTAGAGAGTAAATGTCAATAACTCCCAGCTTGCTATTTATGGAATAGATAGAGTTCTTGCGAAGCGCCTTAATGAAGACGCCTGCTAGCTATCTACCGGAAGGAACAAAAGGTGTAACAATCTCATTCGGGTCAACTTTCGATCGAATTAAATGGCAATCTACTTCAATGTGTTTAGTCCTCTCATGGTAAACTAGATTGCCAGCAATATGAATAGCTGCCTGTTTGTCATAATGGAGAGGAATTGGGTACTAGACTGAAATCCCAAGTTCCTGTAAAAGAGTTTTCAACCGAGTAAGTTCATAGGCAGTGTGTGCTATGGCACGATACTCTACTTCAGCACTGGAACGAGCCACAACTGATTGTTTCTTACTCCTCCAAGTTACTAGATTTCCTCTTATGAAGGTGCAGTAACCCGTGGTGGACCGTCGATCAGTAGGAGAACCGGCCCAATCTGCATCTATGTATCCCTCAATCCGAAGATGTCCAGAAGATCGATAAAGCAGACCACGTCCCGGAGCACCCTTAAGATACTTCAAGATGCGTACAACTGCCTCCATGTGAGGTACCCAAGGACTGGTCATGAACTGGCTCACAACACTGACTGATAGGAGATATCTAGACGAGTGATTGTGAGGTAAATTAGTTTACCTATTGACAAATTTAGGAGAAAAGATTCAAATTGTATATTAATTGAGAAAGCCAATGCACGGCTTATATACACAAATTACAGCCTGTACAGAGCTAATCACAGGGAGATAAAATAGGAAACTAATCTTCCTAACTTTCCTAAAAATGAATTAGAATGAATTTCTATATTAGTGGGATTCTCTAACTTATTATCCCATGATTCTAGGAAAGTCAATGATACACATAAAATACATTCCTAACGAATCCACCTATGGAGGGAATAAATCTTCTACTTTCCAACACTCCTCCTGAAGCTGGGGAATATGCATCTTTCATTCCCAGCTTGGAAATAGATTCTTAAAACGCTGCACTTCCTAGTCCTTTTGTAAGCACATCAGCAAGTTAACCATTGGTTGAGATGTACGGAGTACAAATTAAGCCACTATCCAACTTCTCCTTTATGAAATGTCTATCTACTTCCACGTGCTTTGTTCTTTCATGTTGAACAGGATTGTGAGTAATGCTAATGGCAGACTTCTTGTCGCAAAATGACCTCATTGGTCCTTCCCATTTGATTCTTAAATCTTCCAGAATTATCTTGAGCCATAGTAACTCGCATACTCCTTGAGCCATTGCTCTAAACTCTGCCTCCGCACTTGATCTAGTTACCACATTCTGCTTCTTACTTCTCCACGTTACAAGGTTGCCTCCAAGGAAAGCACAATAACCCGTGGTGGAACGTTTATCAATTAGTGAGCCTGCATAATTTGCATTAGTGTATGCCTCTAAGACTAATCCAGTGTTTTTTTTAAAATAAAATTCCCTTGCTAGGACTAGTTTTTAGATAATGTAGTACTCTGTAGACTGCCTGTAGGTGAACTTCTCTTGGGTTGTGCGTAAATTGGCTAACCACACTCACGGTATATGCAATGTCTGGCCTTATGTGAGCAAGGTATATACGCTTCCCTACTAATCTCTAGTACCTTTCCTTGTCAACGGCTGGATCTTTACTTGCTTCCCCGAGTTTGTGATTTGGATCGATCGGTGTGGAGCTTGGTTTATATGCTAGCTTCCCTGTCTCCCTTTGAAGATCAGTTACATATTTCTGTTGTGAAATGAAAATGCCTTCTCTGGAATGGGCTACTTCAATTCCTAGGAAGTACTTCAATCTTCCTAGTTCTTTTATCTCGAATTCTCTGATTAGGCATTTTCTCAAGGCTTCCTTCTCCTTCTCATCATTTCCTGTCACAATTATGTCATCGACATATACCAAAAGAGCCGTGACTCCCCCTGCATCCGAGTGTTTAATAAAGAGAGTATGATCCCCTTGACTCTGTTTATATCTAGTGGCAAGCATTACTTTGGCAAATCTTCCAAACCAGGCCCTTGGTGATTGCTTCAGGCCATACAACGCTTTCTTCAGTTTGTAAACCCTGTAGCTGCTCAGATTTCCCTTGAAGCCTGAAGGGATATCCATGTATATTTCCTCCTCCAAATTACTGTGAAGAAAAGCATTTTTTACATCAAATTGTTCCAAGTACCAATTGAAGTTGGCTGCTACTCATTTTAGCCACCGGAGTAAATGTCTCTTGATAGTCAACTCCATAGGTTTGCGTGTATACCTTTGCCACGAGCCTGGCTTTGTATCTCTCCAAAGATCCATCTGACCTGTACTTCACTGTAAACATCTACTTGCATCCTATAGTCTTCTTTCCTGGTGGTAGGTCGACAATTTCCCACATTTGATTCTTCTCTAGTGCCTGCATCTTTTCTCTCATAGCATATTTCCATTTCTCATCAGATAATGTATCAGGAATATGAATAGTGTTTAGGCTGACTAGGAAGCTCCTATGTGCTTGTGAGAGTTTTTTAAATGACACAAAATTGGCTAAAGGGTACAATGGGTGTTTAGTGCATTCTCTTGTGCCTTTCCTAATGGCAATGGGAATATCATGATCATGTGGAGTTTCTGGAGCTGTATTTACCTCATTTTCAGGATTAGGCGTTGAATCTTGGACTTGCACAAGATTAGGACCCTAGTCTCTTTGTCTTGAATACACTTGCGAAAACCTCATAGAGTCACGAAGTTCATTATTACCTGTCATTGGACTTTGAATAGGAGTAGTATTTGACACAGAAACGGGCTGTGATGATGGTTCAGGAGGTATAGGTTGAATTGGCACAAAAACTGGGTTGGAGTCCAATGGAACAGAGGTGGAAAGTCTCTGTCTTGGGTTGCAGTCCAACGGAACAAGTGGAAAGTCTCTGTCCTTATCTTCAATGAATGCCAGAGACTCCCCCTGAAGATAAGGTTGAGTGTAGTGTGGTATTTTTTCTTCAAAAGTGACATCAATAGAGACAAAGAATTTCCTGGTAGGTGGATGGTAACACTTGTAACCCTTTTGAGTAGATGAATAGCCCACAAAAATACACTTGGTGGCTCTTGGATCTAGCTTCCCTCTATTATGGCTATGGACATGAACAAAAGTAGTGCATCCAAAGATTCTTGGAATGAGGTTGTTTGTTGTTCTTAGATCTGGATAAAAACGGGCAAGTGTCTCCATTGGTGTTTGAAACCCCAGCACCCTCAAACATATTGGATTGGGTTTAAGAAAAGAATAAACTCAGAGAAAAATGGCAATGAAGGCCAGGGCGTTTCCAGAAAAAGATAAGAAGAAAAAAAGCAATATCTCTTTGGCAATTAAGGCTGAAGAGACTGTGATTCCCAGAAAAGAGCCAAGTGCTCTGATACCATGACAAATTTAGGAGAAAAGATTAAAATTGTATATTAATTGAGAAAGCCAATAAACGGCTTATATACACAAATTACAGCCTGTACAGAGCTAATCACAGTGAGATAAAATAGGAAACTAATCTTCCTAACTTTCCTAAAAATGAATTAGAATGAATTTCTATATTAGTGGAATTCTCCAACTTATTATCCCATGATTCTAGGAAAGTCAATGATACACATAAAATACATTCCTAACGAATCCACCTATAGAGGGAATAAATCTTCTACTTTCCAACACCTACAAGTCTCCGATACATCTCTGGATCATCGAGTGGGTCACCATTATCCACCTTAAGTTTTACATTAGTCTCCATGGGTGTAGCTACAGGTTTCGAACCAAGATAACCAGTATGCTGTGAGAGATGAAGAGTATATTGCCAATGAGAAAGACTAATGCCTTGCTTCAACTGTGCCACCTTAATTCCTAGAAAATACCGGAGTTTGCCCAAATCCTTAATAAGGAAGCTAGAACTCAAGTGATGGATTAGAACTTGTGTCCAATCTTTGTCACTGCCAGTGATAACAATATCATCTACATCACAATAATCACAATACCACGTTTCGTTTTCTTAAAAAAGAGAGTGGTCAGCCTAACTTCTAGTCATACCAGAAGCTACCACTGCTTTACTGAACTTATCAAACCATGCACGAGGGGATTGTTTGAGGCCATAGATAGACTTTTTGAGATGAAACACACACTCCCCCTTATACTCAAACCCAGGTGGTTGAGTCATATAGACTGTCTCAATAAGGTCACTGTGCATAAAAGTTACTTATCAAAACAAAAAAGGTCACTGTGCATAAAGGCATTTTTAACACAAGTAGATGAAGTGGTCAGTCTAGATTAGCTACAAGAGAGATTATCACATGAACATAATCCAGTTTGGCCGCAGGAGAGAACGTCTCAATATAATCAAGGCCATAAGTCTGAGTGTAGCCTTTAGCAACAAGTCGA